GGCACCTACGTTGACGAGGTTCCCCCGCCTGGGGCGAACATCGTCAGTGGCATGTGGATTTTCAGGGTGAAGCGGCCGCCGGGTTCTCCGCCTGTCTTCAAGGCGCGTTACGTGGCTCGTGGCTTCAGACAGCGGCAGGGAGTTGACTACTTTCAGACCTTCTCTCCCACCCCGAAGATGACCACTCTTCGGGTACTGCTGCACATAGCTGCTCACCGCGACTACGAGCTGCACTCTCTTGACTTCAGCACTGCTTTCTTGCAGGGCAGCCTGCACGAGGAGATCTGGCTGCGTCGCCCACCTGGCTTCACTGGGTCTTTTCCTCCTGGCACCCAGTGGAGCCTCCGGCGGCCAGTCTACGGTCTCCGCCAGGCACCGCGTGAGTGGCACGACACACTGAGGACTACACTTGCGGCTCTTGGGTTTGCTCCCTCTACTGCCGACCCGTCGCTGTTTCTGCGCACCGACACTTCTTTGCCGCCGTTCTACATCCTCGTGTACGTCGACGACTTGGTCTTCGCCACAGCTGACACTGCTGGACTCGCCCACGTGAAGTCCGAGCTGCAGAAGAGACACACGTGCACAGACCTGGGTGAACTGCGCAGCTACCTTGGCTTGCAGATCACCCGGGACAGAGCACGCCGCACCATTACCCTAACTCAGTCACACATGGTGCAGCAGGTCCTTCAGCGCTTCGGCTTCACGTACTCCTCGCCTCAGGCCACTCCTCTGCCTACTCGCCACTCGCTCTCAGCTCTGCCTTCGGATGAGTCCGTAGAGTCGAGTGGCCCGTACCCAGAGCTTGTTGGCTGCCTCATGTACCTGATGACCTGCACACGACCTGACCTTGCGTACCCTCTTAGCATTCTTGCACGCTATGTTGCTCCTGGGAGACACAGACCGGAGCACATGGCTGCAGCGAAGAGGGTGTTGCGCTACTTGTGCAGTACGTCGGGCATGGGGCTTGTGCTTGGAGGGCAGAGTCCAGTGGTCCTCACTGGGCACGCAGACGCTTCTTGGGCTGACGACCAGGCTACGCAGCGGTCGTTACAGGGTTACACCTTCAGCCTTGGTTCCGGCTCTGTTTCGTGGCGGGCTACCCGCTCGTCTTCTGTTCTCGGCTCCAGTTGTGAGGCTGAGATCTACACCGGAGCCATGGCTGCACAGGAGCTTCGCTGGCTCACCTACCTGCTGACTGACATCGGAGAGCCGCCTCGTTCTCCTCCAGTGCTGTACGTAGACAACAAGGCCATGCTGGCCTTGTGTCGAGAGCAGAGACTGGAGCACAGAACGAAGCACATTGCTCTCCGCTACTTCCTTGCTCGTGAGCTACAGCAGCGTGGTCAGCTGCGGCTTGCGTACGTGGCCTCTCAGGCCAACACTGCTGATATCTTCACCAAGGCACTTGCGCCTTGTGATCATCAGCGCTTCTGTACTCAGCTTGGTCTTGTGCCTACCTTGCCTCACTTGCTCACCCCTTGACCTTGTTTGTACTGTTGCATATATATATACACCTGCTCTTGCTTGTCTAGTCTTATATATATATTTATGCAATCCTGCATGTGAACTGGCCTTGTGGCCTTGAACTTGTGCTCGGAATGTGTGGTGACTTTGTGATCCACCCTGAGCTTGTTTTGCTTTGCTTGACTGGTCTTGTGACCCCTTGTTCTCCCCCACTTTGCCTATGGGGGTGTGTCAGATTTATATGACATAGCTACTGTAGGCTATAGTGGGGTAGCACATATGGGGTACAGTTTTCTAGGGTTTGCTTTTTGTACCCAACTTTCACTTAGTCATTTTCATTCCTGTTTTCTTAATTCACATAATATTCAATTGCAGACAGAAAACGTTGGTATAATATAGTGAAAATCGCATTGAAACCCTTGTTGTACGGTGTACAGCTCGGTTGAAATGTTGCGGTACCAGTCAGGGAATTCGCGCACAGTTGATGGGTACCACGCAGGGAAGATGGGTACCACGGAGGGAAGATGGGTACCACCAAGGGGTGCGCATGATCTGACGGGTACCATCGAGCCACGTAGGTGACTTTTGACGTCAGCGGGCTCGATGTTGGTTACCCAGAATGTAATTACCCTTTTCCGTTTCTTTGTCATGAGAGATGGAGAACTGTCAGAGGCGCAATACCTCCGTCAAAAGGCGTCTTTTCGTAGAATCAAGTCACTATCCAGCATCACATTGTGGGACGATGATGTGGACGCGATCACGTGAAGAGGCAGGGTGACTTGGCACACGCAAGGATGACGGCAACCAGCTGGTCTGCTGGTTGCACAGTGATTGCGACAAAAGTCTCCGCCCACTGGAAGGAGCACTCCACAACGTTTTTCCACAGGTACACGTAGGATGTCGGTGGACGTGGCACGAAAGCAGGGCAATTCGCTCGTCATCCCACCCCACTCCCACCTCATTTTCTCTCCCCCCCCTCACTCCCAAGGGGAGCGGGCTGAAGGGGGGGGGACTGAGCAGTGCACCTTGCTTTGATTACAATCTAGATTTCTTGCGAAGCAACCAATAAGGGTAATTACCTTCTGGGTAACTCACATCGAGCCCGCTGACGTCAAAAGTCACCTACGTGGCTCGATGGTACCCGTCAGATCATGCGCGCCCCTTCGTGGTACCCATCTTCCCTCCGTGGTACCCATCTTCCCTGCGTGGTACCCATCAACTGTGCGCGAATTCCCTGACTGGTACCGCAACATTTCAACCGAGCTGTACACCGTACACCAAGAGTTTAATAACAACGTTTACAAACTCTTATTGAACATTAATACCCTTGAACATAAATGTTGGTGTACGGTGTACGGTGTACAGCTCGGTTGAAATGTTGCGGTACCAGTCAGGGAATTCGCGCACAGTTGATGGGTACCACGCAGGGAAGATGGGTACCACGGAGGGAAGATGGGTACCACGAAGGGGCGCGCATGATCTGACGGGTACCATCGAGCCACGTAGGTGACTTCTGACGTCAGCGGCTTCGATGTTGGTTACCCAGAAGGTAATTACCCAACCAATAACCTTAATGTCAGTGTGTACCACGAGGATTCTTGCAAAGCAGCTCATTGGTGTATATTCCGTTCTGTCAGGTTTTGACATGTGTTGTCAGTTATGGCACGTGTATGCAGGGTCACCATGTGGTCCGCATTGCTCCATTGGCGCACCCGATCAGCACAAGCACTTCTTGGATTTCTTGACCTGATTGTGCTGACGCATGGGACGTAGATTGACACGGTGCCATCCCGTTCTCGGGAATTTGTGTTTCACATTCATAAAACTGTAAGAACTGGAGAAAGAGGGAATTCGAGGCAGTTACGACTGCGGTTGTATGCTTTCTTTGTGTATTTGCACTTCCGGCCCCCCTCCCCTCTCCGAACCGGAAGGAGAGGTTTAAAGCCGTGGCCCAACTATCAGCTTCGACTTCAGGGTATTATAGCTTGAAACTTGGTAGTCCCAAGCAGTTCAGTGGCGAGAGGTTTGTCTTTTGCGAGATTCCATTTTTTTCGTCCAATAAGGGTCCCGTTACACACACTCCATATTTGTCCTGCTACTGTTCCTAAGAAGTTGCACCCCGCCTTTAAGTTTCCTTTCGTGGGAAGTTCCAGGCATAAACCTCCCACTGTCTCTGTTTTGGGCAACTTGTCTGACGTCCAGGGCAGCCCGAAGTGTGAAGCATGTCCCGTAGCTCGGTTTACGGGTGAGAAGACACGGTGGTCAGGATGAAGCCAGTGGAGCACGTACAGTACATTACAGTACTATTCATCCACCGTCAAATGATTCCATTGAAGTCTCATCAACCCACCACAACTGAACCAGCATGGCTAAACTGAAGCCACCGCAACACAACACCCCCAATCCTGTACCAGAGCAAACAACTTCGGGGAGGTGGCGGCGAAACGGAAATAAGGGGGCGTCAAACGGGCCGCAGGCGGGAAACTCCACCGTCGCGCGCTTCCTACAAGCCACCGAGAACGAGTTTGCATCGAGTCGCATACAAACCTGGATGCGTTGGCCCATGTGCGAGAAATGATCCTCCGCTCCGACAATGGAACGTTGCGTGCGCGCAAACGCAAGAGAAAGTTTTCTTCGGTTCGGTTTCCCCCCGTTCCACCTCTCCGCCTCCGCCTCCCGCTTTCCCGTCAACGGGGAAGGCACTTCCCCCCCACTCCAATAAAACCTATTTCTGCGTGCACTCCGCCACCGTGTCAAACGGGCCTCACCTGGTCTGTGGTTGCGGGCCTCGCTTCGCGTTCCCTTCGCGCCGCGTCCCTCCACCTGACTGACCAGCTACAGTGATCCAAGGCCCACCACCACGAGAACACGCAACAGCCCCCAGCGAGCTGCACCAAGTCGAGGCAGACCAAGGCAGAATTCAGCAGGCAGGTGCGGGCAGGAGGTGAGCTGGCAGGACCCCAGCCACCATCACCTTGTGCCTGTTTTTTGGACAGGTTCTATTTTCAACCAAATCCGCTGAATCGAAAGAGTTGCGTAGCGTACGTTCTAGCATAACCAAGGTCCCTTCAGCTGCACTGTCTGCATCAGCTGCATTAGGACAAGCAACTGCAGCGGCACCGCAACCGCTCAGCGTTGCTTAGTTTACCGCAGCGTCACGCACGGTCATTACGGTTACTCAGTCAAGCTTCTAACTCCTTCAGTCAAGCTTCTAACTCCTTCAAGTCTATCTCATGGGGCGATTATTGCACCCAGCAGCTTTTAAAGACTTTGGTGCTGACAGATCCACATGCGCTGCTTGCTCCTCGCAAACCTCACAATCCACCACCAGCAGCAGCAGCGGCGGCGACCGTGGCGGAAGCAGCAATAGCAGCAGCAGCAGCAGCAGCAGCATGGCTGTGTGCACATGTCCGCCAGAAACCACCGCAGCCATTCCGAAGCGTAAGACCGGACGTCTGGTTTCCGCCATCTCCCGCTTTTTTCAGAAAGCTAACGAAACTGCCGCCTCAGCGACAGACGCAGCTGTTTCTCCTGCCATGGCTTCCGCCGCAGTGGCACCGGCGGAACTTCCGCAGCGCCAGCTCTCCGCGGACTTTGTCATAGAGAGGGTGGTTGCGGCGGGCAAGGCGACCCGTTGCGACGGCGCTCAACAAGCCGCGGACGAAGAGCACGTCAGACGACACGTCAGCTCGCTTCCGGCGCGGTATGTTGCAGCCGGCTACTCGCCGGTGACCGTCAGGAGCCACATGGCGCTGCTGGAGGAAGCCGCTTCGTTGCGTGATGGCGTTCCGGCGATCAGACTAGACGTGAAGAACGGCGACTCGAGCAGCGCCGGTAGCACGCAGCATGACGCGGTTTCTGTCGCAGCCATCGGCGCGGCGGGCTATTGCGACTCCGACGACGATTGCGACTCATCAGTCGACGGCTTGTCGCTGGGGTCGTTCGACGACTCGCTCTCAGTCAGTCGCACGGAGATCACCTTCGCATGCAGCTCGCACGTGTGCGCGGACGCGCTTTCGTCCGCGCTCCATCGCGCGGGGATGCGCACGTTCGGCATGACGACGTACGACACTAAGAACGGCTTCACTCTCGGGCACTTCATGTTGCGCGCGTCCATCGCGCAGTTCTCCATGCGCGAGCTCGAGGACGTCTTCGCCGCCGCGTGCAAGCGCCAATCCCCGCGCGGATCCCTCCCCGGCTCCGCCCCCCGCGCGCTGCAAGCGCTCCCGGAGGTGCTCGGGGAGAAGCTGACACACCTTGTGGGGAAAATGAGTCCTCGCCATCACCTGAGCCACCACCTGAACCACCACCACCACCATAACCACGGGAGTGGATCGTGGAATCTGGGTAGCATCAGCCCGCGACGGGCGTTTCCGCATCATTCCGGCGTCGCGGCGGCGGCGAGCTCGGTGCCTGCGTCGGCTGCGTCTGCGGCGTCGCGATTCGCGGCGGCGGCGGGCGGCAGCGCCAGCCCGCTCTCGTCATCACCCGACGGCAACGGGCTGCTGCACGTGCTGCTATCCGAGCGCGGCGCGATGAAGAAGAAGCTCGGCGCGCTCATCATGGACCCGATGAAGCTCGAAATCGGACCTCTCATCGCGGTGGGCGCGTCGGGAGAGGTGCGCAAGGGCGTGTACGAGGGCGAGGAAGTCGCGGTGAAGATTCTCAAGGGCGAGGGGAAAGACGTTCACTCCATGGTCGCGGAGTTCCGCCGCGAAGTCGTGACGCTGATGGCGTGCGGGGAGTGCCCGCAGCTGCTCAAGTTCCTCGGCGTGTGCGTGGACGTGCGCGGGCGCATGTGCATAGTGACCAAGTACATGGAAGGCGGCACGCTCAGCGACATGCTCCGCCGACGACAACCGCTACAGCCGCTACAGCCGTCTCAGCAGCAGCAGCAGCAGCAGTGTGGAACAGCGAGGAAACCGAGCATGAGCGAGGTGTTATCGATCGCACTAGACGTCGCAAACGCCATGGCGTTTCTCCACAAGCACGGCATGATTCATCGCGATCTTAAATCCGCGAATATTCTCCTCGACCGTGACAACCGCGCGGTCGTGGGCGACTTCGGGGTCGCGCGATTAAAGACGGAGCGCGGCGAGATGACTAAGGAGGTCGGAACGTACCGTTGGATGGCGCCAGAAGCCTTCGGAACGAGCTCCTGGCCCGTCACGCACAAGGCTGACGTGTACAGTTATGGAATCGTTCTCTGGGAGCTGATCGCAGGGGAGCTACCGTTTGCGGATTATTCTCCGTTACAGGCTGCTGTGGCGGTGGCTCTTAACGGAGCGCGGCCTCCTGTGCCGGAATACTGCCCTCCCGGGGTTAGGAAGCTGATGGAACGGTGCTGGGACAAAGCGCCCAAGGAACGGCCGGAATTCACGGAAGTGGTAACTGTGCTGCAGCAGCTGATGCGGGAGGAGGAGGCGCAGCGGTAGCAGCAGATGAAATTAGGGTTTGATGCGTACATATCACCCTTCCCAGGCTAAAAAAGGCGTTAGTAGTGTCGGTACATATGTATTCCGGCGGGTGTATAATTTGCACCCCCTCCCCTCCTCCTCACCCCTTTCCCTGCTATCACTCTCCTCCCTCCGCCCACTGCGTACAAAGGAGTTGGCGGAAAGGCAAAATAGGCCCTTGGGCCCAGGGCAGTTACAGTTTTCCAATTTTGTAGGTTAGAAGCTGCTCTGTAGCAGCTTTACAGGAAAGAGTTCCACAATTTTGCTCATGGCTTGCCACGCCTTGCCTGTTTATTTGTAAATTATAAGCTGTATATTCAGTGTATTGCTTGCACGTGCTTTATAGAACATAGCAGAAAGGACAATCCGATTGGGCCCTAAAGCATCTCGTTCTAGACCTTTGTTATGTAGATTATGCACATTTCATGCTCAAATAAAGCACAACTAAGGACATAAGGAAACAGGTGTTTCTGCTTCGTGTTTTCTCTTCATTGGTTTTTCCGCGCATTGTACAAAGCAGGCCACCGTATAGCGCATTTGTGAATGTTGTGGTGTGGGGTGGGGTGGGGAGGGAAGGCCAAGCCGTCGTGAATCGTGATGCATGAAAGCATGGAAGCAGCGGCGATAGTGATACCCTACCAAACCATTCTTTAAATTAAATGAACCGCTCTCGATCGTACCGAGCATTATCAAACCGCATTCGGACGTATTGCCTTACACCCCACCAGCCCCTGGTTTTTTACTTCAGTTGTCGCGCTCTGGTCTGGTCGTACTTCTTAGCCAGGGCTCGCTCTGCCTTCGCGTCGTCGCTGTTGGTCTCACTCCCCGCCTTTCTTCAGTAATTCCCCCTTCATGAGTACAATTCAGATCGGTCTCTATGCTAAATGATTAGCTAACCTTGGTCGTCTTCTAATCATGGACCCATCGGCAGCTGGGTGAAATTTCACCCAGTTCAACCCAGTTCCACCCAGTTTTACCCAGTTTTACCACCTTACACCGCACACAGTAAAGCTTTACCGCTTCAAATCCTCCACATTCTTCCGCATCGGCCTCGCTAGTCATGGAGCCATCGGCAGCTGAGTTATCGCGGCCGGACTCGGCGCGCAGCGCGTGGCACTGGATCGAATTCGTGCTCTTCCCCGCGAAGCTCGACGAGCATCTCGCGCTGCTGGAGAAAGGCGCTGCACGCGCGCCGTCGCTCGTCGCTCTCCTCTCCACGTTCCTCGAGCAGGTCGGTTGTTTGAAAACTTTGAACAGGCCCTGTCAGCTCAGGTCGGGTCACTAACTAACGGCCCGCCACACTGTGGCCGTCGCTCGTCGCTCTCATCTCCGCATTCCGCGACCAGGTCGGTCAGGTATCGCCAAGTTAGGCCCAGCCAGGTCATGTCAGGCCGGGTCAGGTAGGGTGAATTTCCGATTTGCTTGAAACAACAGCCCTCGCGTGTCGCGCGCATCTCCACATTCCTGGAACAGGTCAGTCGCTCAGATAGGCCTGGTCAGGTCGGGTCGGGTCAGGTCGGGTCAGGTCAGGTCGGGTCAGGTCGGGTCAGGTTCGGTTGGGTCAGGTTGGGTGATTTTTTTAGGCAGCTTATAAGATGGCTGTTGCTTGTCACGCGCTAGTCTCGACATTCTTCCCTCCCTCACCTACTCCCATCCCCGCTCCCTTCCTCCCTCTTCCTCCCTCCCTCCCTGTCTTCTTCTCCCCAACCCTTTCGGTGTATCCCTCGTTCCAACGTTTCTCATATCCGTTACTTCCCTTCCCCCCACTCCGCATCCCTCCCCACCCCCAGGCGGCCCAGATTCAGAGGCTACAGGCACCCGCGGAGGGGGAAGGTGGGGGCGCACCAGGGGGGGAAGGGACGGACGCAGGTGGGGGGAAAGGAGCGGGCGCACCAGAGAGTGGGGGAGGAGGGGCAGGTTTGGGGAATGGTGTTGCTGGGAAGAAAGTGGCGAGTGCAGGGGAGGATGCATTGGTTAAGCGGGGAGGGGGAGGAGGAGGAGGGGTAGGAGGAGTTACAACTGGAGATGGATCACCCATGAGACCATCCCCCAGCCAATCGGAAGTCACTATCATGGCTCTTTGCCGATTGGTCGTCCGTGCTGCCCTGAAATCAAATCTTTCGCTCACTTTGATCGAAAAAGATTTCCCCTCCATGCATCAGATGCCCCTGCTGCAGCTGCTCGTGCTGCTGGACGATCCGAGCCGTCGCATCGTCCGGCGGTGCAATCTGCACCGTTGGTTCTTGCGAGCTTGTTTGGACTGCCCGGGAGGGGGTGCAAAAATTTTGGGCGGCGAAGGAGGAGAGGGAGAGTCAGGTGGCTTGAAAGGGGGAATTGGGGGAGGTGATGCAGGTGGGAGGTATGGTGCTGGGGGGTTGGGAGGGGTGGGAATGGGTGGAGGTGGATTGGGAAGAGGAGGAGGACAGGGGGGTTGGGGAGGAGGAATAGGAAATGGGGGAGCGAGAGGGTTTGGTTCTGGAAACGCTGGTGGTAGTGGTGGTGTGGGTGGTGTGGGGGGAGGTATGGGTCCTGGTATTGGTGGGGGTATGGGTGGAGTGGGGGGAATGGGGGGTACGAAGAACACAGGGGCGAATGGGAAGAGTAGTGTGGATGTGAGGAGGATTGCCCCGTTGCTCTGCCCTTCTGCTTCGGCGGCAGAGTTAGATGCTTGGCTCGGGCTAGCAGACGAAGGAGGCTCGGTGGAGTTCCTAATTAGGGTTTCGGGGTTTGGGAAGAAAGCAGGGGAGGAAGGAGGAGAGGCAGGAGAAGAGGAGGGAGGAGAGGAGGGAGGAGAGGAGGGAGGAGAGGAGGGAGGAGAGGAGGGAGGAGAGGAGGGAGGAGAGGCAGGGGAAGGGGAGGGAGGAGGGGATGAAGGAGGGGAGAGAGGAGGGGAAGGAGAAGATGTGCAAGGGGAGCAAGGGATAGCGGAGCAAGAGGTCCAAGCAGGAGAGAGGAAAGTGAGTGGGCCTGATAGGGGAGGCGGCACTGGAGGAGCAGCAACAGCAGGGGAAGGAGAAGAGAAAGGACAAGAGAAAGGAGAAGAGAAAGGAGAAGAGAAAGGAGAAGAGAAAGGAGAAGAGGAAGGAGAAGGGGAAGGAGAAGAGAAAGGAGAAGAGAAAGGAGAAGAGAAAGAAGAAGGAGAAGAGAAAGGACAGGACGGAGGGGTTTTGAGTGGGGGAAAAGAGGGGGATGGGAAGGAGGGGGCTGCCGTGCTAGGGGCAGGGGCAGGGGCAGTGGCAGGGGCAGGGGCAGGGGCAGGGGCAGTGGCAGGGGCAGGGGCAGGGGCAGGGGCAGGGGCAGGGGCAGGGGCAGGGGCAGGGGCAGTGGAAGGGGAAGGGGAAGGGCCAGGGGCAGTGGAAGGGGAAGGGCCAGGGGAGGAAGCAGTTGGGGTTGAAGTGAAAGCAGAGGAATGCACAACGACAGGTGTGAAGGACCATTCTTCTGGTTCTCCTCCTCCTCTTGCTCCCACCGGCGCCACTGCTGCTCCTGCTGTTCCTACTGCTGCTGCTGCTGCTGGTGGTGCTGCCGCTGCTGCTGCTGCTGCTGCTGCTGCTGCTGCTGCTGCTGCCAGTCTTCCTCACGCCCCGTCCACTCCTGAGGCTGTCCCCGTTTTGCCTCCCCGGTTGCAGCAGCTGGTGTGGTTCGACCTGGGGGAGTATCAGTTTGCAAGGGGGGGTATTTGGGAAGCAGCCCGGTTGTTTGCCGCGTGCGAGGCTGGAGCGAGGAAGGAGGGTGAGAGGGAGCGGGTGGGGGAGGGGGAGCGGCATGGGAATGGGGATGGGGATGGGGATGGGGATGTGCATGGGAAGGGGGAAGGGGGCCGGTTGGAAAGGGAAGAGGGCGAGGGTGAGGGGGAAATGAATGGTTTGGGAAAGGGTGATGGGGATGGGGATAGGGAGGAGGCGATGGGAATGGAGGGAGAGGATGTTGTGAAGGCGAGTTATTGTGAGGAGTCTCAGGAGAGGAAGATGAGAAGCAAAGACGAGAAAGCGGAGGAGGATTTGGAGATGAAAGAGGGTGAGAGCGAGGGGGAGGGAGAGGGGGAGGGAGAGGGGGAGAGGCGGGGAGAAGGGGAGTCAGCAAAGGGGCAGAGACCTGTAAGAGTGGCTAGTACAGGAGGCAAAGTGGAGGCAGAGGAGGAGCGAAAGGTGGAAAGAGTAGAGGCAGGGGTGGGAGTGGTAAGTGCAGAGGGGAAGCGCGGGGAAGGAGGGTTGGATGTTGGTGCAGGAGATGGGCTGGGGCTTGTAGAAAGCGGGGGAAAAGGAGGAGAGGGAGGAGGAGGAGAAGGAGGAAAAAGGGGGGAGAGGGTAGGGCTTGTGAGTGTGGAGGAGGAGAGTGAAGGTGAGATTGTGAGGGAGCGGTTGCTAGGTTTTCTGGCAGCTTGTGAGGCTATGCTTCCTGCTTCTGTTGTGAGATGGAGGAGGGAAGAGAAGGGAGGGAATGGGAAGGCGAGGGGGATGGGGCAAATGAACAGAGGGGAGGGTGCAGAGAGGGGGATGGGCAGGGGAAACGGAAAGGATGAGAGAGAGGAGAAGGGAGAAAGGGAGGAAGAGGGAGAGGGGAAGGGAGAGGGGGAGGCAGGGGAGGAGGATGTGGGATTTGCTCTGCCCTTGAATGCTGCTGCTCAATGTGAGCTGCTGAGGAAGCAGATTTGTGAAGCAGCTGCTGCTCGGGCTACTCGTGCTGCTGCCGCTGGTGGTGCTGGCGCTGCTGCTGCTACTGCTGCCGCTGGTGGTGCTGGCGCTGCTGCTGCTGCTGCTGCTGCTGCTGCTGCTGGTGCTGGCGCTGCTGCTGCTTCTGCTGCTGCTGCTGCTGCTGCTGCTGCTGCTGCTGCTGCTGCTGCTGCTGGTGCTGGCACTGCCGCTGCTTCAGCAGAAGCTAGAGAAGATAAAGCAAGTGGGGGTGTTGGGGTAGACGAGCAGGTGCAGCAGAGGAAACGCAAGAGACAGAGAGGTGGCTCTGATTGGAATGAAGGACCACGCTCAAAGGAAGACACCACAGGGGGACAGGGGCAGGACGAGCAGCAGCAGCAGCAGCAGCAGGAGGAGGAGGAGGAGGAGGAGGAGGAGGAGGAGGAGGAGGAGGAGGAGGAGGAGGAGGAGGAGGAGGAGGAGGAGGAGGAGGAGGAGGAGGAGGAGGAGGGGGGGGAAGGGGAGGAGGAAAAGAGGAAGCTGGAGGAGGCAGATAAAGAGGGGAGGAGGAAGGAGAAGCGACAGAAGCACAGTGAGCTTCATAGCCCAAGTGAACAGCCAGGAGACGAGGCTGGCTGTTCTGGTGGTCGGCACGATGATGGGGAAAACGGTGGTGAGAGTGATGATCTAGGGGGAGGATGTGCATGGGAGATGGAACGAGAAAGGGGGGGGGAGGATGACGAGGAAAACGAAGCATGGGAATGTGGACAGGAGCAGGAGCAGGGGAAGGGGAAGGGGGAGCAGGAGCAGCAGCAGAAGCAGGGGAAGGGACAGGAGCAGGAACAGGAGCAGAGGGACGAACAGAAGCAGGAGCAGCAACAGTTAGTTTCGCCAAGAAAGAGAGGCAGAGTTTCGCCAGGCCTCCTGTCTGCCACTGCTCTCCTGAATCTGCTGATTCAGGACATTGTGTGGCAGCAGCTGCCCGAAGGGCACCGGGCAGCACTTGAGAAGGATTTTTCTCTGCCCGAGGGCGTGCGAGGAAAGATTTTCGCAGCGAATCTTGTTCACCGCGTTGCTGTTGGCTGGCAGCCCGTGGAAACGTTTTTGGAGTCTTGGCTGGAGAAGGATATTCCAGGGCAGACCGGGCAGAAAAATACCCACCGGAGGGGGTTGTCGAAGAATGTCCTCGCTGTTTCGGTTAGATTGCTCGATTTCTTGGTGAGGGTGCTTGAGGGAATCCCTTGTGGGAGTGTGGAAACATGTGCAGCAGCAGTCAATGGCGTGGCCAGGAGGGGAAGGGACAGGGGCGGAGGAAGGGGCGGAGACGAGGAGTTAGTGGTGGTGGTGGTGGAGGGAGAGAGAGCCATGGTGATAGGAGAGAGAGCAGCGGCGCTTGCAGCGTTTGTGAGCTGTCTGGTTGGCGAAGCATGGGCGTGGGGCCTTGCTGGGCGAGTCAGGGGGCTGAAAAGGCGGATAGAGGAGGTGTGGAGGGGCGGGTGGGGTGGGTTGGGTGATGTTCAAAGCAGGGAGAGCAGGGAGGGCAGTGAGGGCAGGGAGGGCAGGAGGGGAATAGAGGGGGCTGGGGAGGATTGGGATTGTGGAGAGGATGAGGGTGATTGGGTTGTTGGTGGCAGTGCGATAAGGGAGGACGAGGAGGAGAAAGAGGCGGAAGACGAGGAAGAAGAAGAGGAAGGAAAGGAAGGATGGGCGGAGGAAGGAAAGAGGTCCACGTGGAGAAACACGGGAGAACGGTGGTCTAGAAGCAGACATGTGGCAGGGAGGGGCATGCAAGCCGAGGCACGGGATAGGTTGATGGTGAGGGAGCGAAACAGGAGCCTCGGGAGGTTGTGTGGGGATCTCCCTGCGTTGGCTGTGGAAATGGGAGCTCTTGGTCGTGTTGCAGCTCTGGAGAGAGTGGTTGGAGTGATGCTGGTGGAGCATGAGGAGGGGGAGGTGAGGGGTCGGAAGGGGGGAGGTGATACTGCTGCTGCTGCTGCTGCTGCTGCTGCTGCTGCTGCTGGTGCAGCATTTGATGCTGATGCTGATGCTGATGATGCAAGTGGGGAGGAGAGGCGGAGAGGGAGCAAGGGCGTGTGGGCTGGTGGCGATGTGCAGAAGAGTCGGCAGTTGGTGAGATTGATGGAGCGGATGGGGAAGGCGCTGATACAGGAATGGCTGGTGGAGGGAGAGAGAGAGGGAAAAGGTATCTGGCGAGAGTGTGGCCCGGGCGGAGGTTCGGACGGAGGTTTGGATGGAGGTTTGGTTAGAGGGTTGGACAGAGGGTCGGGCGGAGAAAGCAGGAGGGATAGTGTTGTGTGGAGTGGGTTTGAGGGAGGAGAGAGGGAGGTGAGGAGGAGGGGGCTTTGGGCTGGTGCTCAACGAATGTTCCGACTGGCAGTTCAAGTGTCTGCTACCGCTGCTGCTGCTGCTGCCCCTGCTGCCTCCTCTGTTGCTACTCCAGCTGCTTCTGGTGATGCTGGTGGTGGTGCTGGTGCTGGTGGTGATGGTGGTGGTCCGGCTGTAGAGGAGCCTGCAGAGGCCTATTGGGGCGGCGATGTGGGCAGTCAGGTTATGCTGTGGGCCATGGGGAGCAGACTGGGAGGAGGGGCGGAAAGGACGCCCGGAGGCGGAGAGTGCAGGGAAGGGGATGGCGGGGGCGGTGGGACGGATTTGGTTGATGGAATGGTGGATGGAGGAGGGGTGGTGGTGACATTGCCAGTGGTTGCTGCTGCTGGTGGTGCGGGTGCTGATACTGATGCTGGTGGTGGTGATGGTGATGGTGCTGGTGATGTTGATATGAAAGAAAACGAATCGTTGAGCGAGCAAGAGCAAGTTCAAGAGAATCAGAAGCAGATGCAGGAGCAGCAGCAGGCACAGCCGCAGCAACTGCAGCAGCAGCAGCAGGAGCAGCAGCAAGGCAGCCGTGGCTTGTCTGGGGACTCCAATAGGTGGTCTAGGGATCCTCACACGTGGCCTCACCTCTCTTCCCCATGTGTTGCACCCGATGCTGCTGAGCTGGCTCTTGCGCTCCTGACCAATCAGCAGCGGTGGGGCGATGCGCTGGCACTCTGTGATTGGCTGGAGGGCGTTGTGAGGCGAGTGGAGGATGGAGGGGGAGGGAAAGATGGGAGGCTGGTGGTAGGGGTTGGTGAGGCTGAGCGAGTGTCACCTGCAGCAGCAGCAGCAGCAGGAGCAGCAGAGGTAGGAGCAGCAGCAGCAGCAGCAACAGCAGCAGAGGCAGCAGCAGCAGGAGTGGCACAAGCAGCAGCGGCAGCAGAGGCAGGAGCAGTGATGGGAAAGGACGAAGGAGAAAGCAGGATGGAAGGCAGGGTACATGGTATTGGGGGAAAGAACGGAGGTGGGGAAGGGAAGGGAGGCGATGACTCTGCTACAGCAAGAGCAGCAGGAACAGCAGGAGAAGCAGGGGAGAAAGAGCTTGAGGGGGTTGCAATGGAAGTGGAGGTAGCAGTAGCGGGGACAGGTGACTCACCTCGTGCTGCTGCTCCTGCTGCTCCCGTGGCTGCCCCTCTGAGGTTGGAGAGTGGAGGGGCGGAGACAGGAGAAGAGGGAGGGATTAGACAGGGGGTGGAAGAAGGGGGAGAGGGGAGGAGAGAGAGGGATAGTAAGGAGAGGGAGCGGAAGGGGTGGGAGAGGGAGTGGTGTGTGGAGGTGGGTGCAGTGGCAGGTGTTTGTCGGGGCCTTTGCAAGCTCATGATTGCTGCTGATGCGTTTCTTTGTGGGGGGAGCGAAGGCAGACAAGGGGGAGAATTGAGAGGAGTAGGAAGGGAAATTGGAGGGGGGGGAGGAGGAAGTGGAGGGGGGGAGAAGGGAGAGACTGACACGGTAGGGATGATTCTTTCGAAGCCTGTCGTTGAAACTGGCAGTAGTAGATTGAGCAGTAAAGCAGGAAGTAAGCCAGACAGTAAGACCGACAGCAAGACAGACAGCAAGGGAGACAGAAAGCGAGACAGCAAAGGAGACGATCACAAAGGCCGAGACAACAATCTGGCAAGCAAGTCCGTGCCTGCGACTGTGAGTGCCGATGCAGCAGCAGCAGGTGCTGCTACACGGGAGGAGGCTAGCAGGCTCGCTGCTGCTAGGCTGTGCTCTGCCCTGGATGCTGCTCTGACTGCTGTTGTGGTGTATGGGTGCCGGGAGCCTCGACTTCTGCTGCCCCTGCTGCCACTGGGAAAGGAAGGAGGGGTTGCAAAAATAAATGCCGCTCCTGCTGGTGCTGCTCATGCTGGTGCTGGTGCTGTTGGTGTAGGAGCAGTGGGAGAAGCTGGAGGGAAAGCGGGCGGGGAACTGGGTAGGCAGCAGCTGGCGCAGGAAGGTCCGATGAGTCTGGTAGCTTCCCACATACCAGCAGCAGCGGTAACAGCAGATGCAGCAGCAGCAGAAGTAGTAGCAGCAGAGGTAGCAGCAGCAGCAGCAGCAGCAGCAGCGCCGTCTGTCTCCGTGCCTCCCATGGCCCATCTCCTTCGTCGCGTGCCTCTCCTGCCACTCCTCTCCAACCAACGCTTGCTCACCCGCCTGGCCTCGCTGCTCGTGGGCTGGGTGCAGCGATATGCATCCCTGGATGCTGGTGGTGCTACTGGTGCTAGTGGCACTGGTGGTTCTGCTGTCTCTGCTGTTGCTTCCTCTGCATCTGCTGCTGCCGCCGCCGCTGCTGCTGCCGCTGTTGCAGATACCACTAATGCTGGTACTACTGCTGTTGCTGCTGCTGCTGCTGCTGCTGCTGCGGCTGCTGCTGCGGCTGCTGCTGCGAGTCCAAGGAACTGGTTATTGGAGCTCCCTCGATTCGGCCTTCTAGCTGCTGTTGCTTCAGGCGTAGATATTTTTGGAGGCAGTTCAGGAGGAGCGGGGCTAGGGGGTAAGGATATGGGGATGGGGATGGGGAAGGGGATGGCGGTTGATGGGAGAGGGAATAATGTGGGGTTAGGGCTAGATGGGAGGGAAGGGGGCACGAGGATTGGGGGTGGTGGAGGGGTGGGGAGGGACGGTGGGGGAAACGGTGGGGGGAGGAGTAAGGGGGAGGAGGGGGGTAGTAAGAGGAAGAGGACGAGGGAGGAGAGGGAGGGGAGGAGAGATGAGAAGGAAGGGAAGAGGGAGGATCGGGAGGGGAGGCGTGAGGAGAAGGAGGCGAGGAGGGAGAAACGGAGGAAGGAGAAGGAGGAGAAGGAGAGGGAAAGGGAGAAAGAGAAGGGGAAGCATAAGGAGAAAGAGAAAGATAGGGAGAAGGAGAAGGAGAAGGAGAGGGAAGAGAAGGGACAGGGTAGGGAGAAAGAAAGGCATAGAGAGAAAGACAAGGTTAAGGATAGGGACAAAGAGACAGACAAAGAGAGAGACAAAGAGAGGGATAAAGAGAGGGATAAAGAGAGGGACAAGGAGAGGGATAGAGAAAAGGAAAGGGACAAGGAGCGAAGCAAGTCAAAAGGGGAAAAGGGTTCCTCTTCCTCTTCCCACAGGCATAGGCATCACCATCACCACCACCACTCAAGTCGCACCCACTCCTCTCCTTCACACTCTCCCTCTCATTCTCCCTCGCAATCTCCCTCCCACTCCCCCTCCACATCTCCGGCTCATGTTCCTGTGGAAGCTTCCTCCGTGCTTGTGGAAGCTTCTGCCATGCCTGTGGAAGCTTCTGCCATGCCAGTGGAAGCTTCTGCCATGCCAGTGGAAGCTTCTGCGATGCCAGTGGAAGCTTCTGCCATGCCAGTGGAAGCTTCTGCAATGCCTGTCGACTCTTTCCGCAACTCTTCTCTGTCAACGCATGATCCGTCTATGGCCAGGCATACAGAAGCAGCGACAGAAGCAACAGCAACAATAGTGGCACCAGCATCAGAAGTAGTATCAGCAACAGTAGCCACACCAGCAACAGAAACAGAAACATTAGTGGCAGCAGCAGCAGCAGCATCAACACCAGTAACAACACTGACAGCAGCAGAAGCCACAACTTCTAGTGAAGGTGTAACACTAGCAGAAGAAGGAGCAGGAGCAGGAGCAGGAGCAGGAGCAGGAGCAGGAGCAGGAGCAGGAGCAGGAGCAGGAGCAGGAGCAGGAGCAGGAGCAAGAGAAACAGCAAGAGCACTGGAAAAGGGGGGATTGAGTGAGCGAGATGCATTAATATCTCGTGCTGGTGCTGGTGGTGGTACGGGTAGCGACCATGCAGAAAATGTCTTGTCTGCTCCCACTGCTACTGCCAATTCTACCAGTGGTGATGATGCACGTTCTGCTGGTGCTGCAACTGACACTGCTGCTGGTGATTCATGCACTACAGATCTGGTTGCTCCTGCTGCTGTTGCTGCTGCTGCTTCTGCTGCTGTGGCTGTTGCTGTTGGTGGTGCTGATTCAGGTGCCAATGATGTTGCTGCTTTAGCATTAGCAGAAAATCGAGCAACAGAAGAAGCAGCAGCAGCAGAACCAGCAACACCAGCAGCAGCATCAGCAGTAGGAAGCGGAAAAGTGCGAATAGAGGATTTGTCAAGAATGAGTGGAAAGGGAGAGGAGGGTGAAACAACTAATGAGACATCTGAAGAGCAAAGCAGGGCCAAGGCGGCAGGAGGAATAGCACATTCTATTCACCCTCCTGTTCCTGCTCCTGCTGCTGCTACTGCTACACCTGTTCCTGCCATTGCTGCTGTTGCTGCTAGCCCTGCCTCTGTTTTTCCTCCTGCTGCTGCTGCTGGCGCTGACATGGGAGGAAGTAAAGACCAGAAAATGGATGGTGATGGTGGTGGTGGTGGTGGTGGTGATGTTGATAATGGCACAGTTAAGCACACACGAGGCGATATGAAAAGGTCAGGAGGGGCGAGAGGAGAAGCACCAGCGGCACTAGCAGCAGCAGCAGCAACACCACCACCAGCAACACCAGCAGCAGCACCACCAGCAGCAGCATGGAAGCACCGGCACTCGAGAGCGCATGTGTGTGTGGGCGCTGGGTTGCTGGAGTGGCTGCTACTGCGCCTGACAGGGGTTGGAAGGCAGGAGGACGCAGCAGGGGCCGTGGGGATCGGGGCGAGTGGCGAGGGGAGGGTAAGCTGTGCATGGGAGAGTCGGCTTGGGGGCTGGGTGCAGGAGGGAAGGGGGAGAGAGAGTGGGAAGGAGAATGGAAGTGGGAGTGTGGGTGGGAGTGGGGATGGGAGTGCGGGTGTTGCTGGTGTTGCTGGTGGTGGTGGTGGTTTTGCACGTGCTGATATGAGCCTATGGCCTGGGGAGGAAGATGCATGGTGGGAATGCCAGCAGCAGCAGAAGCAGCAACCGGCACAGCAGCAGGTACAACAGCAAGCGCAGCAGCAGGCGCAGCAGCAGCAGCAACTGCTGCTGTGGGGGCAGGATCCCCTCCTGCCTCTGCCACAGCTGCTGCTACCCCAACATCCCGGCCCACACCTGCCCTCTCCCCAACAGCAACAGCAGCAGCAGCAGCAGTGGCAGTTACCGCTTCCGTATGGCCAGGCATCAGCAGCAGCAGCAGCAACAGCAACACCAGCAACCACAGCACTGGCAGGATCCAGAGCAGGAGCAGCAGGAGCAGTAGGCGCTAGTAGTGGTGGTGGTGGGGGAGGAGGGGCAATGGCAGAGGGAGAGGCATGGGTGTGGCTGTTGTGCCTTGCAGATGTTGCCTTCAACCGACAGGACCACCTCTCTGCTCTCCGCCTTTACCTCCTTGTCAGTCCCCTTCTCCCTCATTCTTGTTTCTTAACGATTCAAATAGTACTCTCGCCCTCTCACCCTCTCAACCCCTCAACGCCTCACTCTCTCTTCCCCGCACCCTCTCACATTTCACTCTCACCTTTCACTCTCACCTTTCACTCTCACCTTTCACTCTCACCTTTCACTCTCACCTTTCACTCTCACCTTTCACTCTCACCTTTCACTCTCACCTTTCACTCTCACCTTTCACTCTCACCTTTCACTCTCACCTTTCACTCTCACCTTTCACTCTCACCTTTCACTCTCACCTTTCACTCTCACCTTTCACTCTCATCTTTCACTCTCACCTCTCACTCTCACCTTTCACTCTCACCCTTTCGCCCTCTCACCCTTTCACCCTCTCACCCTTTCACCCTCTCACCCTTTCACCCTCTCACACTTTCACCCTCACCCTCTCACCCTTTAACCCTCTCAACCTTTCACCCTTTCACCCTCTCACCCTTTCACTCTCTGACTCTTCCCTCCTCCCATCTCTTGTGCTTGTGCTTGTGTGACAGGCGGGCCAGGCAGCCACTCGAGGGTTTTGCCAGTTGAGGAATCCCACTCTTTCCCCTTTCCTTCTCTTTCCCCTTTCCGCCCCCTTTCTGTGCTTGTGCAACAGGCGGGTCAGGCAGCCACTCGAGGGTTCTGGGACAACAACCCTGCAACTGCCAACGGGGGAAGCAGCAGAGGATATATGAAGGGTCTCAAAATCCCTCTCGCGCTCTCACCCTCTAAACTGCTCACGCTCTCACTCTCTCGCCCCCTCACTCTTTCACCCCCTCGTGTGACAGGCGGGCCGGTCGGCCACGCGAGGGTTCTAGGACAACAACCCTGCTTCTGCCAACGGGGGCCAAAGCAGAGGATTTATTAAACGTCTCAGAAGTCATTTCACCCTCTCACCCCTCCCCTTCCCCTCTCGTTTGCTTGTGCAACATTCTGACCAATCAGCCACGCGAGGGTTCTGGGACAACAACCCTGCGACTGCCAACGGGGGCAGCAGCAGAGGATTTTTGAGGCGTCTCAAATGTATTCTCGCCCTCTCACCCTCTCGACCCCTCGCCCCCTCACTCTCTCACGCCCTCACCCCTCCCTCCTCTGTCACTCCCGTTGTGCAACAGGCGGGCCAGTCAGCCACGCGAGGGTTCTGGGACAACAACCCTGCGACTGCCAACGGGGGCAGCAGCAGAGGATTTTTGAGGCGTCTCAAATGTATTCTCGCCCTCTCACCCTCTCGACCCCTCGCCCCCTCACTCTCTCGCGCCCTCACCCCTCCCTCCTCTGTCACTCCCGTTGTGCAACAGGCGGGCCAGTCAGCCACGCGAGGGTTCTGGGACAACAACCCTGCGACTGCCAACGGGGGCAGCAGCAGAGGCAGCATGGCACGGCAGGCAGTGCAGGCAACCATCTCCCTCGGCCACTCCCTCCGCTCTCTCCTCCCCTCCATGAGTGCACGTGCCAGTGCTGGCTGTGGTGGTAGCGGTGGCAGTGGTGGAGATGGGTCTAGTGGGCTGGGTGGTGCTGGTTTGGATAGCAGTGGTGCTGGTGTGGGGTTGGGAGCGGGAATGGGAATGGGGAGGGGAAGGGGAAGGGGGAGGGGGATGGTGATGGGGATGGGGATGGGGATGGGGATGGGTGGAGGAATGGGAAGAGGGGCAGGCGTTGGTGGTGCTGCCACTGCCACTGCCACAGCCACTGCTACTGCCACTGCTGCTGCTGCTGCCACTGGTGGCGTTGGCAGTGGTATTGGTGGTAGTGGTGGCAGTGGAGTGAGCAGCACCTGGATGGATACGCGTGCTGCTGCTGCTGCTGGTACTGTCACGCTGCCTGCCAATAGCTCGGCTCTACCACGTGTATTCTCACCCTGGGTGGTACGTGCTTCCCTTCCCTCTCACCCTGACCTCGCTGCACCTCTTCCCACTGCACCTGATCCCTCTGCACCTCTCTACACCTCTCTGCGCCTCTTCCCTCTGCACTGCTTCTCACCTCACTTGCTCGCCTCCCTCCCTTCTCTCCATTCACCCCTTTTTTTCCAACTTCATTAAGCGCTCGTTTCTCTCGGGTGCTGCACCTCCCTCTTCCCCTCTCTCCCCCCTTTCCCCCTTCCCCCCTTCCCCCTTCCTCTCCCCCAATCAGCTGCGGCGCACGCTACTGGCTCTCAGGGCTGTGGGCGCCAATCTACCAGCAGCCGTGCTGTGCCAGCTGCACTGCTTCCCCAGCCGCTGCAAGCCCCTTTCGACAGTTTTCCCCTCCCTTCTCTTCCCCATATCACCCCTCTCCCCCAAATCAGCTGCGGCGCATGCTACTGGCTCTCAGGGCCGTGAGCGCCAATCTACCAGCAGTCGTGCTGTGCCAGCTGCTGCCGGCGCCCTACCTGCCCCTCGCCTTCCACCTCCTGTCCTCATCACCGCTCCTTGACTCCGCCACCACACACGCTTACATCCAGTGCATCTGGGAGGTGAGTCATCCGAAGGGCATTGTTCTCAACGAATGCAATATGTACATATGTAAATATGTATATATGTATATATGTATATATGTATATATGTATATATGTATATATGTATATATGTATATATGTATGTATGTATGTATGTATGTATGTATGTATATATGTATATATGTATATATGTATATATGTATATATGTTTATATGTGCATAAATATGTCTATATAACAACGCCTGGAAGCAGCAGGTAACACAGCTACGCTAGCGCTCGTGCTCATGCTTCTTTGATCCCGTTTTTCCCTCCCTTCCCCTTCTCCCCACCCCCAACCACCCCCCAACCCCCATCAGGTGCCACTGCTGGAGCTGCTCGCCAGTCGCCTGGAAGCAGCGGGCGACACAGCCACGCTAGCACTCGTACTCTCAGTGCTTGCTCTGCCCTCCTGCAACGCCCACAACCCGCCCTTTGTGCGCCGCGCACATGTGCGCCGCTGCTCCCTGCGCTTCTTCCGCCTGCTGGCCTCGCAGCTGGGAGCAGGAGGGGAGTTCAGGGGGTAGGGTTTAGGGCTACGGTTCTAGGTGAGGGTTTGAGAATTGGGGTTTTTGTTTGAAGGCTGATTTGTGAGCCTCACACTGTCGTTGATTGCTGCTTCGGCTGGGTGTGCTTTTGGTCTGTTTTATTTGTCTCACGTCATGGCTGTTTCCTTAATTACCTCAGCTCTTCTTGGTTGGTTCTCACTTGTCGATCGCTGGGGGGGTATTGAATCCAGATGTGACGCGGTGGCCTATGTCTCATGTTTTATCACAGAAAATGTGCTTGCGAAGGGCTATTTTCGTAAGTGCATTCTAGTCTGCATCCCTACAGATACATGCAAAAGCATGTATGATTGCCCACTTACCTCAAGCTTCTGTATCGAAGCTGGTCGAAGCTTGTACGTTCACATGGCCCACTCATTCTGAACAGCTTGACTCGACTCGTGTCGCGTCGTCTCCAAGAGAACAATCCTGACGAGACAGACCAAGAAGTAGAGTTCATCCAACCCAACCCAACTTAACCCAACTCAAACCAACCCAAACTATCGTTAGTTGTTTATTGCCCAGACGTGTTCCTTGCAACCGAAAACAGTTGACCTGATGACAGTGCCTTCCAAGCGCCACATCCACAACAACCAGCCAGCGCTGAGGAACAAGAACCGCTGGATCTTATCGTACGGCCCTCGATTGTGCGTCCACTAACTCATCCCTGAATTCTCGGGTTCCAAAGTTGGAGATATTATTCTAGCATTCCCGATATTGCACTGGCGAAAAAGTGCAGACTGCGCGGGAAATTTGGTTTGGGAGAACACCTTGACTTGAACCAAGGGTAATTTGGCCAACCATTCCGTAAGACTCTAATTCCGCTCCCCGGACCGGATGTCGATAGCGCCCATTAGTACAAAGCAATACCATAGAAACTTCCTGTCTGCATAGATGTATTTCGAGGCCCCTCTAAGATCTGTAACCACGCGTAAACGCGTTTTAAGTGTTTTTATTATTTCTCCGGCCCTGAACTAGCGCTCCTGGCGAGCCAGTCCTCTATGGTCACTGCCGCACCGCCTTCTCTATGCACCTGCACCTGAATCTAGCGTAATGTTGTTGTCGAGATAGGTTATTCGTTTCCCTACTAGAGACTGCTACCCTGACATCATTTTTCCTCCATTGCAAAAGCGTCAGCTGTCTTGTGCCGTCCTCTTTCCTTGGATACCTCTCTTTCCACGTGTCTCCCTCTCCTCCTCCTGCGTACTTCCTGTTTTTTTCCTCTTTCCGCCTATCTCCTTTCCCCTTTTTCCCGCGTATCTCCCTCCTCCGAGTCTCCCCAGACCTCCCCTTTTCCCGCAAACTTCCTGCTAATGCTGCCAATGTCCGCTTCCGCCTGTTCCGCCACTCTCCTCCCCGCAGCCCTCCCCCGCTGCGCCATCCCCCGGTCCTCCGCTTCCGTGCACTCCCCCGTTCCCTCATCATCCAATCGCTACCGTTCACCTCACGCTCTTAAAAATTCCAACCGTTCCCCCGCATTCCACGGCAACCCACTCCTTCGCCTCAACGCGCCTCGGCTACATTTAAGAAATCTCCGGAGCGACTCCCGTATGTCAACCAACGGCAACGCTTCCGCTGTCGTTAATATCAGCGTGTCTCTTCTCTCGCCGTCGACCTCCCGCCGCCGTGCTGCGCAGTCTCCGCCTCCACTGCTTGCGGGGGCAACCGCCGTCGGCGGCGGCGGCAGAAGCGGCGGCGTGTGGGCGCGCGCGGGCGCGGAGAGGCGCGGAGGGGAGAGTGCGGAAGACGCGGGGCAGGATACCCCTTTCCTAAGCGGAAGCGGAAGGGTGCGGCCGGGGAGTGTCGCGGCATGCGCGGGGAACGACGGGCGGGCGCACGCGCCCGTTGACCAGGAGCGCGCGGACAAAGCGGAGAGCGGTCAGGGCGGAGGGGGAGCGGGCGCGAGCGCGGGCGCGAAAGAGGATGGGGTAGACGCGGAGCTGGTGTGCGGAGGAGGGGGAGAGGCGGAAGAGCATCTGTCGTCTTCTGGGCGGACGTTGGGCAATCTGATCATATCCATCGTGGGCGCAGGTGGGCGGCAGGATAGGTAACAGGGTAACACGATAACACGTAACTGGTAACTGGTAACCAGGTAACCCAATATCAGGGTGACAGTGTTACAGGTCACAACAGATGGGGGTAGCAGCCTAGCAGGAAGCAAGCAGCTTCCTATTCCACCGCCATTCTCCTATTCCGGCCTTCTCTTATTCCCTTGGTAATGAGGGCCAACCTTTACCAACTTGGTCACCCTATCATATGGGGCGAAGAGCGTTCGAAGAGCGTTCGAAGAGTCATCATGAGTCATTTTAAGTTATCTTTTGGTGCCCTCCCCTCCCTTCCATCCCCCCCACCCTCTCCCTTCCATCTTCTCCCTTTTCTCCCCTCCGTCCCCCCCCCTCTCCCCGTTTCACTCCCAGGCGTGTTGGGCCTGCCCTATGCGTTCATGCGTTCGGGCTGGCTCGTGTCGCTTGTCTCTCTCGCCGCCACGGCTGCTCTCACGCACCGCGGCATGCACCTGCTGCTGGCCGCGCGCGCCCTGCAGGAGGACTGGGAGACGGAGCAACGACAGCAGCTGGGTGGGCTGCTGCCGCAGCAGCAGCAGACGCAGCAGCAGAAGCTGCAGCAGCAGAAGCAGATGCAGGAGGTCAAGGTGGAGGGAGATGGTAGAAAGGAGGGCTTGGAGCAGCAGCGGGGAGGTGGAGGAGAGACGGATTCGCTGCTTGTCAGAGCAAGCACGGACCCATCAACACCAACACCAGCACCGTCAGTACCAGCAGCTGCAAAACCAGCAGATGAAACAGGGCAGGCTACTACCACCAGCAGCAGCAGCGCCATCACCAGCAGGGCGGGGGGCAAGGTGCGGTCGTATGGGGACCTGGGTGAGCGGGTGTACGGAGCGGTGGGGCGCGGTGCAGTGGACGCCATGGTGCTGGTCAGCCAGGGCGGCTTCTGCGCTGTCTTCCTGGTGTTCATGGGGCACAACGTCGCCAGTGTGCTCTGGGGCTCTACCCTCGACTCCTCCCTCGTCATCGCGGTAATAGGTGAGTTGGCGGGTTGTGTTACGGGTGGTTACCACCTGGAAGTGGGGTTGGTTGGCATGTGCGGCTTCTGCGCTGTCTTCCTGGTGTTCATGGGTCACAACGTCGCCAGTGTGCTCTGGGGCTCTACCCTCGACTCCTCACTTGTGATTGCGGTTATTGGTGGGTGCTCTCTCTCACTTGCTCCACTCTCATATGTCGTGTCGTCCTGGTGCTCATGATTCACAATGTCGCCAGTGTGACCCTCTGGGGCTCTACGCTCGACTCTTCACTCGTCATTGCCGTTATTGGTGAGTTACCATCCGTGGGGGGGTTGTGCTACTAAGGAGGGTACCGCTATGGTGCTGGTGAGCCAGGGCGGCTTCTGCGCTGCTGTCTTCCTGGTGTTCATGATTCACAATGTCTCCAGTGTGACCCTCTGGGGCTCTACGCTCGACTCTTCACTCGTCATTGCAGTCATTGGTGAGTTGAGTTGCCACAGAACGGCTGTGTCACAGAGGAGGGGAGTGACCACGTGGGGCCTACCACGTGGGGCCTACCACGTGGGGGCTGGTAGGCATGTGCTGCTTCTGTGCTGTGTTCTTTGTATTCATGTGTCACAACGTTGCCAGTGTGCTCTGGTGCTCCACCCTCCGCTCCTCCCTTGTCATCGTCACCATCCATGGGTTACCAGCTGCGCCATCTCCATCTCTACCTCTGTACGCATGCCCCCCCCCACCACCCATACCATACTCCCACCACCCATACCATACTCCCACCACCCATACCATACTCCCACCACCCATACCATACTCCCACCACCCATACCATACTCCCACCACCCATACCATACTCCCACCACCCATCCTCCCACCACCCATCCTCCCACCACCCATCCTCCCACCACCCATCCTCCCACCACCCATCCTCCCACCACCCATCCTCCCACCACCCATCTTCCCACCACCCATCCTCCCACCACCCATCCTCCCACCACCCATCCTCCCACCCCCCATCCTCCCACCACCCATCCTCCCACCACCCATCCTCCCACCACCCATCCTCCCACCACCCATCCTCCCACCACCCATCCTCCCACCACCCATCCTCCCACCACCCATCCTCCCACCACCCATCCTCCCACCACCCGTCCTCCCACCACCCATCCTCCCACCACCCATCCTCCCACCACCCATCTTCCCACCACCCATCCTCCCACCACCCATCCTCCCACCACCCATCCTCCCACCACCCATCTTCCCACCACCCATCCTCCCACCACCCATCTTCCCACCACCCATCCTCCCACCACCCATCCTCCACCACCCATCCTCCCACCACCCATCTTCCCACCACCCATCCTCCCATCACCCATCTTCCCACCACCCATCTTCCCACCACCCATCCTCCCACCACCCATCCTCCCACCACCCATCTTCCCACCACCCATCCTCCACACCCCATCCTCCCACCAACCCATCCCTCCCACCACCCCATCCTCCCACCACCCATCCTCCCACCACCCATCCTCCACCACCCATCCTCCCACCACCCATCCTCCCACCACCCATCCTCCCACCACCCATCCTCCCACCACCCATCCTCCCACCACCCATCCTCCCACCACCCATCTTCCCACCACCCATCCTCCCACCACCCATCCTCCCACCACCCATCCTCCCACCACCCATCCTCCCACCACCCATCCTCCCACCACCCATCCTCCCACCACCCATCCTCCCACCACCCATCCTCCCACCACCCATCCTCCCACCACCCATCTCCCACCACCCATCCTCCCACCACCCATCCTCCCACCACCCATCCTCCCACCACCCATCCTCCCACCACCCATCCTCCCACCACCCATCCTCCCACCACCCATCCTCCCACCACCCATCCTCCCACCACCCATCCTCCCACCACCCATCCTCCCACCACCCATCCTCCCCATCCCACCGCCCATCCTCCCACCACCCATCCTCCCACCACCCATCCTCCCACCACCCATCTTCCCACCACCCATCCTCCCACCACCCATCTCCCACCCATCTCCCACCACCCATCCTCCCACCACCCATCCTCCCACCACCCATCCTCCCACCACCCATCCTCCCACCACCCATCCTCCCACCACCCATCCTCCCACCACCCATCCTCCCACCACCCATCCTCCCACCACCCATCCTCCCACCACCCATCCTCCCACCACCCATCCTCCCACCACCCATCCTCCACCACCCATCCTCCCACCACCCATCCTCCCACCACCCATCCTCCCACCACCCATCCTCCCACCACCCATCCTCCCACCACCCATCCTCCCACCACCCATCCTCCCACCACCCATCCTCCCACCACCCATCCTCCCACCACCCATCCTCCCACCACCCATCCTCCCACCACCCATCTCCCACCACCCATCCTCCCACCACCCATCCTCCACCACCCATCCTCCCACCACCCATCCTCCCACCACCCATCCTCCCACCACCCATCCTCCCACCACCCATCCTCCCACCACCCATCCTCCCACCACCCATCCTCCCACCACCCATCCTCCCACCACCCATCCTCCCACCACCCATCCTCCCACCACCCATCCTCCCACCACCCATCCTCCCACCACCCATCCTCCCACCACCCATCCTCCCACCACCCATCCTCCCACCACCCATCCTCCCACCACCCATCCTCCCACCCCCATCCTCCCACCCCCATCCTCCACCCCCATCCTCCCACCACCCATCCTCCCACCACCCATCCTCCCACCACCCATCCTCCCACCACCCATCCTCCCACCACCCATCCTCCCACCACCCATCCTCCCACCACCCATCCTCCCACCACCCATCCTCCCACCACCCATCCTCCCACCACCCATCCTCCCACCACCCATCCTCCCACCACCCATCCTCCACCACCCATCCTCCCACCACCCATCCTCCCACCACCCATCCTCCCACCACCCATCCTCCCACCACCCATCCTCCCACCCCCCATCCTCCCACCACCCATCCTCCCACCACCCATCCTCCCACCCCCCATCCTCCCACCACCCATCCTCCCACCACCCATCCTCCCACCACCCATCCTCCCACCCCCCATCCTCCCACCCCCCATCCTCCCACCACCCATCCTCCCACCCCCCATCCTCCCACCCCCCATCCTCCCACCCCCCATCCTCCCACCCCCCATCCTCCCACCACCCATCCTCCCACCCCCCATCCTCCCACCCCCCATCCTCCCACCACCCATCCTCCCACCCCCCATCCTCCCACCCCCCATCCTCCCACCCCCCATCCTCCCACCCCCCATCCTCCCACCACCCATCCTCCCACCACCCATCTTTCCACCAGCCCCTTTCCAGATCATGCTGTCGTGGCTGCCGTCCCTCACCCAACTCGCTCCTTTCAGGTGCGTTTTCGAACCCAACTCAACCCAACCAAACCCAACCCAACCCAGTCTAGCGCATCTCTTCACAGCCTCTCCACTCAGCAGCAGACTTCCCTCACCTGGGGTTGTTGTTGAGTTCAGAACCCTTTTGAGGCTGCCTCACATGTTGAGAATGGTTTTGTCACCATCACTTCCATCACTTCAGTATGCCTCTTCTTTCTTTCCCTCCCTTCATATCTTCCTCTATAATGGTCTTAGACATCTCAAAACTCTGCCTCCCACCCCTCTTCACCCCTCTCCACCCATCTCCAACCCTCCGCACCCAGCATATTTGCCAACTGTGTCAACCTCTGTGCTTCTCCCTCGTAATCTACCACGGCCTCCATTCCTTCCAAGGCCTCGACTCCCTCTCCGCCTTCACAACCCTCCCTGTTTCCCCTCTTCTTTTCTCTCCACCCCTCCCCACCTCTCTCCACCCCTTCCCACCACCCAGCATATTTGCCAGCTGTGTCAACCTCTGCGCCTTCTCCCTCGTAATCTACCACGGCCTCCATTCCTTCCAAGGCCTCGACTCCCTCACCGCCTTCACAACCCTTCCTGTTTCCCCTCTTCCTCCCTCCCCACCCGCCCCCATCCCTCCCCAACCCATCCCCACCCCTCTCCACCCCTTCCCACCACCCAGCATGTTTGCCAACTGTGTCAACCTCTGCGCCTCCTCCCTTGTCATCTACCACGGCCTCCATTCCTTCACCGGTCTCGACTCCCTCTCCGCCTTCACAACCCTCACTCAACGTTCCCCTCTTCTTTCCTTCCCACCCATTCCCATCCCTCTCCACCTCTCTCCACCCCTTCCTACCACCCAGCATATTCGCCAACTGCGTCAACCTCTGTGCCTTCTCCCTCGTCATCTACCACGGCCTCCATTCCTTCCAAGGCCTCGACTCTCTCTCCGCCTTCACAACCCTCCACTTCCTGTTTCCCCTCTTCTTTCCCCGCACCCATTTCCACCCCCTGCGATCCCCCCCAATCCCTCCCCACCCCTCTCCATCCAGCATATTTGCCAACTGTGTCAACCTCTGTGCCTTCTCCCTAGTCATCTACCACGGCCTCCATTCCTTCCAAGGCCTCGACTCCCTCTCCGCCTTCACAACCCTCCAAGATGCACCCTTTGCCTTTGGCGTGGCCACCTACGCACTCAACGGCGCAGGCATGACTCTCTCAGTCGAATCCTCCATGCGTAACCGCACACAGTTCCCCGCCGTACTCGCTACAGGCCTCTCCATCATCTCGGTATTATACGCCGCCGTCGGCACGGCCGGGTATTTCGGGTTCGGGAACGAGACGAAGGAGATTGTGACGCTGAATTTGCCGCCCGGGTGGCAGAGCGTGGCAGTGAAGCTCGGCGTGTGTGTCGCTCTGTTCTTCACTTTCCCAGTCATGATGACTCCAGTGCATGAAATGGCAGAGAGGTATATCTCCTCCTCTCGAGACATATACGATAGCTTCCTCTCCCCCTCCGTTGCTCCCTCCCGCCGCCGGTTCTTCATCTGCTTCGTCCGCTCCCTAACCGTTCTTTTCATTGTGCTGCTATCGGTGTCGGTGCCACATATTGGCGCGTTCATCTCCCTTATAGGCTGCAGCGTTTGCTCTGCATTAGGGTTTGTCGTTCCTGCACTGTTTCACATGAAGGCTGCTAGAGGGAAGTTGGAGACTTCTGCAGTGGCGGTAGATTGGTTCCTGGTAGGGTTTGGTGTAGTGTTCGGGGTATGGGGCACCTGGAATGCGCTGCAGCAAATGCTTGTTTGAACGACAGTGGATGGATGAAGGACTGGTGTAGTGTTCATTCTTTCTATAGAGCTGCTGCTTTTGTAATGTAAGCTCGCAATTTGGGCAATACCATGCAGTGAGAAGATGACAAATACTCCTGGTGATATTATATTATAAAGGCTTGTACGGTATTCTACATGATTCGACCACATTCATCAGTCATGCAGGCTTCAAAAGGAACCGCTCATTAGGTGCAAGAAGGAAGGCGTGGGGCAGAGGGATGGAGAGGTGGGTAGGGGAGAGGAGGCAGGGGTGGGTGGGAGTGGAGGGGGGGAATGGAAAAGCTACTTGTCACGTATAGTGTTTCATCAACAGGGAGAAGACATGAGCTACCATAAGTAAGTAGAGCAATAAGCAGGCTACACTACATGCATCAGTCTCAGTATATTTGAACTCCTAACAGAACGAGACATATATACCCTGTTTGCAATAGAGAGCACTGTAGCAGCAACCCGGGCACAGAGGCTGCAAGGAGCCGTGCTGCTGCATGCCTTATAGATTGAGAAAGAATGCATGCAAAGACGACTGACTGACCCCGAGGGAGGATGAGGCGAGGTGAGCGGAGATGGGAGAGGTGGGATGAGAAGAGGGGAGACGGGGAAAGAGGCGAGGGCAAATGAGTGTGATATTACTTATGAGAATTTTTGAAACTGATGGAAAAGGAGGGGAGATGGGTGGCGACTACCCAAGTGGAAGGAGGAAGTTGAGTGAGGCGCCTCAAGAGATGGGTTGCCTAATATCCAGGTGGAAGGAAGTAACCAGATGGGTGAAGCACCAGCATAATGAGAGCAGCTCGTGAGAAGAGCACAATGAACCAGCTTCTCTAACAGCCTGTTAAAACAGCACATTAAGCAGCACAGCAGCACAGCAGCACACTCTGCACTGCACTGCACCGCACACCAGAGTATCAGCAGCAGAACTCAGACAACCGTGCCACCAGCAGCAGCAGCAGCAGCAGCAGCAGAAGAAGAACAAAAGACCTCTTCCCCCTCCATCCGCCTCTCTCCCCTCCATCGCCCCCCTCCTCTTCATCTACCCCTCTTTCCAAGACCAACCACCTTTCTCAAGTCTCTCTCACTCCATCAGCCACCCAACCAGCCCATAACTGAAGCCATCAGTCAATCCCCGAGTCATCATCCGACTGCCGTGCAGCCATGTCCTCTGCTCGCCGCGCATCCCCCACTTTCCTCCTCACGCGTCCCTTCACCTTCCGCCTCTGCCCCTCCACACTATCCTCCTCGTCAGGGGAATACCCCCCCACCTCCTCCCCTGCTGCGCTCGCCCCCCCCTCCCTCTCCGACCCTTCCTCCCCCACACTCGCCCTCCCCCCACCTGCCAGAGTAGCTGCCTTAGCACCCATGCCCTGTGCTCTACCCCCCACCACTAATCCACCTCCTCCTCCTCCGTCTCCTCCTCCTCCCCCTCCTCCTCCCACTCCGCCTCCGCCTCCGCCTCCGCCTCTTCCCCCTCCCCCTTCGCCTCCCCCTGATGATCCTTCCCCGCTTTCTCCTCCGCCTCCGCCTCTCCCCCTCTCCGCCCCTCCTCTTCCCCCAGCTCCTGCTCCCCCAGTCCCCCTACCCCCCGCGCCTGCGCCTGCCCCTGCTCCCCCTGCTGCTCCCCCAACTCTCCCCCCCGTTCCGCCCATGCCTCCGCCTTCCTGCCTTCCCGGCCTGGCCGCACTACCCCCTACAGCCCGTCCCGTTACAGTCACACACCCCCCAGCACCACCACCACCAGTCCCCGCACCAGCAGAAGCACCAGCCGAACCGGCAGCAGCAGCAGCAGCGGCAGCAGCAGCTTCCCCGGACCTGGTCTGCCAGTCCGGGGCCATCCAGAGCTCCCGGCGCGATCTCGGAGCTCCAGGATAGTCGCTGTCCGAGCCTGACGTGTAGGTTCGGTCGTCCGCTGCAAACGCAGCGTCTCTCCACGCAGCGGCGGAAAGCCCTCCCTCAGGACCCACCTCCCTGCTCCCTACCGACGTTGTACCATCCTCAGCTGCTGCTGACGAGCTATCTCCATCCCCGTCCCCGTCCCCATTCCCATTCCCATGATTAACCGTCCTTTCCGCCGCGATTCCCGTGGGGTTCAGGGCCGTGAGATCGTGCGTTGGGTTCAACCTCTCCCTGTGTGCGGGCGGTTGTGTTCTACTGCCGTGCGATGCGTTGTGGAGCAGGAGAGAGGAAGCAGTAAGCCCATTACCTGCAACACCGGTGGTAAGGGAAGCACCGCTGCTGCTGCTGCTGCCAGCACCAGGAGCACCAGCGGCGGCAGAGGCAGCGCTAGCAGAAGCAGCAGCAGCGGCGGCGGCGGCGGCGGCGGCAGTTTTCTCGTCCCCACCACCGCCACCGCTTCCGCCTCTTCCGCCGGCTTCCCCACCCGCCTGCGTCGCGTGCGCGCCCCCCTCCCCCGCGCCTACATGGCGCCAGCGCGGGCTGCGCGTAGCAGGCGCGCGGAACCCCCCGTTCGCATGCGACATTGCGCGCGTGTGCACTTGCGCCAACGGCTGCACAGACGCGCGGGATTGCGGGTGCGAGTGCCCGTACCCGTGCCCGTGCGAGTGCGCGTGCGCCTGCGCGTTGGCGGAAAGCGGAGCTTGCATCTGGCCCGCGGATCCACCCGCAACGCCCGCCGATGCTGCGCCTGCCTCCGCCTCGACCCCTCCCCCATTCCCCACGATCTCCGCCCCACCTCCCACACTCGTCCCGACACCCGCTCCGCCATCCTCCCGCTCCTCCTCCGCAATCCGCCGCATTCCTACTCCGCCTGCCCCCGCGTTCCCCTGCTCTCGGCGCGCCGCCATGCGCATCGACCGCGCCCGCGCGGACCCGCCGTGCCGCGCGGACGATGCCTGCGACGGCTGAGACGATTGCGCGGAACCCGCGGAAGCCGCTGCGCCGGCTCCCGCTATGGCCGCCACAGCCGCTGCCGCCGCTGACTCCACGTCCAGGCGTCCGCTGCGCCCGCTGGACCCCCCGGCGGCGGGGAAGCTCGCGCCGCCTGCGCCGCGCTTGTAGTGCGCGGACGCGTAGTGCCCCCCGCGCTTCCCGCAGGGCCCCGCGCCCGCCTTAACATCCGCCTCGTCGGATGCGAAGCCGTCGGAGTAGGAATACGAGTGGGAGTGACCCATGCGAGCAGAGGACGAACAGGGAGACGCGGGTTCTGAGTCGCCATCGTCGTCGTCGTCGTCGCCGCCGTGCTGTGCGACATCGCCTGTTACCTCCCGCGCAGGATTACCCTCATCGCTGGCCCCGTTTGTCCCGTTTGTCGCTTTCTGCTTGTCGTTGACTCCGTTGACCGTCGTGGACTCCGAGAGACCATTGGGTGAAGGCGAGGTGCTATCTTGTGAGGCGATAGCGAGTCCTGCGACGGCGGAGGCGACGGTAGTCGTCGCAAGCGCGTCGCCAACGTTCGGAGGCTCTGTGCTCGACGACATGGCTGGAAGATGGTTACCAGGCGAGGAAGGAGAGACGGAGAGTCCAAACCTGTATACGAGGAAAGAGGAAAATGGTAATTATCCGATAAGGAAGAGAAGGTGTGGGATGCGGTCTCTTAGAACCTAGGGATTTTCGTAGAGGGTGCTGCTGCTGTGCTACTGCTGACTTCAGGACAGGGAAATTCAGCAACAGATGCATCAAGTTTGCCTGGGCGGAACGGTGGAGCGTAGGAGAGCACCCACGGGGGAGGAGAAAAGGGTTTCTTGGGAATTGGAAAGGGCAGGAGGAAGGGGAACTGGGAATACCTGGCATGTTTTGCCGAGGCCGGCTAACTTCTAGGTTTTTAACCTTGGGTTTCGGCGATCGGTTACCCTGCATTCCCAAGGGTCTCGATTCTTTTTTGCCAGAGAGGACAGGTCTAATTGGGATGTTGACAGTTAATATGTTTCGCGGGTCATGCCAGACCTGACCTCAGGTCAACCGCGAGGTTGGATGCTCGGATGACTTGAGGTGAGGCTCGAAAAATCGGAATTGGAGGCTTGAGGTTATGACACGAATGCTGACACGAGCCCCGTGACGGATGTTCAAGTGTCACCAGAACCGCTCAATTTCCAAACCATCCTTCCCGGACTTCAGAAGGAGGGTGTGCAGAAAGGCTCGATGATAGAATCGAGGCAGCGCCAGTGCTCTTTTTGGGGATATGAGAAAACGAAAACGCTACACAGGCATCAGTGGAAGCGCGGATTCCCTCCACTTCCGTCCCGATTCGGATGGGCAGTGGGAAGAATTCTGGTAGGTCCACTATTTGGCTGAACGATGAAAACCGCCACTCGCACGCTGCCAGGTGGCACTGAAACCACGAGTCCAGCTTTTGTGACAGGTCAGTCGCACCATTCGAAAATGCAGCATTCATGCAATCCAGCAGTACATAGAAGGTAAGTTATGAAAAGTATGAGGTATTCAATATCGAGACATTTATTACTTTCCACAAGAAAATTCGCCCTTATCCAGCATGTTATCTTTATCAAACCCCGAACCCGAACTCCCTCTGAATCCTGATGCACTTTCTTAGTCACGATCCCAGAACGAAACGCCCGCATGCATGCCGCCGCCGCCTCTTACGATCTGCTTCATGCCAGACGGCTAGATAGGACATGCTGCGTCTAGCGTGGTGCTCAACGGCGGATGCGGCAGCTTCCGCGAAACTCGCGGCAGCAGCAGCAGCAGTCGCGCGTCAGCCGTACAAACGACCTTTCACCATGAACGTCAACGTCCCGTCGCGCACCATGATCCCTTTCGTCCCGCTCTCCGCGTCCCCTTCCGCATCTCCCTCCGCAACAACCGCGCGCTCTTGCCCGCGCCCTCGCTATAGAGAACCTTTGAGCTCGGCGAATGTCGCGCGAGCCAGTGTATTTGCGGGCCGCGTTATCCAATCCCAGAGCCTGCGCTTTCTTCCCGCCAGTGTGAGCTCTTCCGTAGCTCCGCCGTGTTGTGCGTATTATACGCAGGCTAACTCACCGAACGCGTACGCGCACCCACCGATTAACAGTCACTCGGCAGCGTCACATTCGCTACTGTCACCCTCGTCCGGCTCGTTGCTTCACGACCCCAGGAGCTTCTTTCCGTTTGTGTCACCTTCGCACTCGCGGAGGCACACGGGAGGGCCCCGGGCGGAGCGCGGGGGGGAACCGCGGGGATGGGGGGATGATCGGCGGAGAGGCAGGGCGGAAGACCGGCGCGGATGGGGAGAGAGTCGGAGTTCCGCGCGAGAGGGGGAACGCGCATGGGGAGACGATCCGCGGAGCCGCCAGGAGCCTTTTGAAAGTTCCCAAAGGCGCGGGAGCGCCGGCGGCGGCAGGCGAGCACCGCCGCCATTTCGCGAGGAAGCGAGGCGTCCTGTATCGGAGATAGATTTTGACGAGCGCGGCGTCGGGCGCGGCAGCCACTCGTTTTTTGCCACGTGTGCGCCGGGGCTAGAGGCGGTGGTGGCGGAGGAGCTCCAGTCGCGGCTGATCGGCGCGTGGGACGTGGTTCCGGGAAAAGCGGGCGTAGCGTTTCAAGGCTCGACGGAAACAGCGTACAGGTGAGTGAGGGAGCGAGACAGTGAAGGAGTGAGTGAGTACGTGTGTAAGGGTTTAAGCAACGAGTTTCCTGTTGAACACCTTTTCCTTTGCGCCCCAGGTTTCCCGTGGTGCAGGGTTCAGGGTTGGAGGTTTTGCAACTGGTGTCCGTCTTTGGCGCTTTAAACCCGGTTGCCGTTTACTCTGGCGAATTCACGTTCAAAAATCTTGAACTTGAAGGCCACCATTCTAGACTCAGGCTTTAAAATGTTATTCCACTTCAGGTTTTTTCAATATTTTGCTCAACCTTTTCCCCCTCGCGCCTTTTTACCCCCTTTCTTCCCCCTCCCCACCTCCCCCCTTGCTCCCCTGCTCCCCTTCCCCCTTGTGTCCCTTCTCCCCCGCGCTCCTCTCCCCCGCGGCATGCATCGCGCGCAGGGCCAATCTGTGGCTGCGCTGCGCGGTGCGCGTGCTGCACGAGGTGGCGGCGTGCGACCTGCGCGCGCGCTACGGCCGTGCGGACGGGGACTCGCTCTACCGCTTCGTGCGCGCCGCCGCGGATTGGCCGAGCCTCATCGCAGGCCCGGGGGAGATCGGCGAGGTAGAGGCGAGGGGAGACGGGAGGGGAGCAGCAGGACGAGCAGCAGGGCGAGCAGTAGGGGGAGCAAACGTTGTCAGGCGCAAGCCAGTGACGTTTTCAGTGCAGAGCCGCGTTTGGGACTGCCCTGACCTCCGCACGTCTCAGCTAGCCTCCACGCGCGCTAAGGACGCCATTTGCGACGCCATGCGGGACGCTTATAACGGGTACAAGCCCCCGGACCCGAGGGACTGGGCTGGGGGAGCGGGGGGAGCGGGGGGAGCGGGCGGAGGGGGCAGAGGGGGCGGAAGGGACGGCAGGGGCGGCGGAAGAGGGGGTTTCGCAGACCCTGTCGAGTCAAACGAGTCAAGGGAGTCAACATCGGAGCTGCCACTGTTCCTTTCCTTATACCAAGAGAGGGCAGTCTTATATCGGGACATGAGTGGGCGCAGCCTGCACAAGCGGGGGTACCGGGATGCGATGCACAAGGCGAGCTTGAACGAAGGCGTGGCTGCTGGCGTGCTGATGCTCGCCGGGTGGCAGCAGGTGGCGTGGATCGGCGATGGGGAGGGGGAACAGGGAGGGGAACGGGGGGGAGGGGAGAAGGGAGGGGAGAAGGGAGGGGAGAGGGGAGGAGGGAGGACAAGAGGAGGGGAGCGGGAAGATGCGGTGGAGACGGGTAGAGATTCAGGCGCTTCAGATACACAGGGCTCGGTATCAGTAGCACCACCACCAACAGCATCACCAGTAGCACCAGTATCACAGGCAGCAGAAGCAGCAGCACCAGCTGCTCCATTATCCATCGCCCTGGTGGATCCCATGTGTGGCAGCGGCACTCTCCTCATAGAAGCAGCCCTCATGGCTTGCCGCATTGCCCCCGGCTCCTTTCGCTCTGCCTCCCAACATCCCTCGCCTTCCTCCTTCCCTTCCTCTTCTTCCTCCTACTCCTCCTCCTCCGCCGCCGCCTTCTCCTGGCCCTTCCACACGTGGCACGACTTTGACGCCGCCACGTGGCGCGCCGTGATTCGCGAGGCGGAGTCGCTCCGACGCACGCCGCCCGCAGGAGTGTCGTTTCACGGCAACGACGTCCACGAGGGCGCGTTGGCGCTCTGCCAGCGCGACGCTGACAGGGCGGGCGTGGGCCGCTGGATCAGGCTCAGTCAGGGGGACTGTGAGGAGTATGCGCCAGCTGTCGCGCCCTCATTGGTCGTCGTGAACCCGCCGTGGGGCACAAGGCTGGGGGAGACAAGGTGAGGCGTTTTTTTAAGGCGACTGTTTAGAGCCAATGACTGGCTGACACATGACACTTTTTCAATATCCTCCCAATCTCTGCCCACCTCTTCCTGCTTCCTTCCTCTGTCCGTTTCCCTTACCCCTCCACCACCCCTCCCGCTCCCTCACCCTGTTATCCCGCACCTCTCTCAGTGGCGAGGAGGGCCAATGGCTGGCTGACACGTGGCACCGCCTGGGTGTATTCCTGCGCCGGCAGTGCCGGGGAGCAGAGGCGTTTGTGCTGAGCGGTAACGCTGCGGTAACACAGAAGCTGTTTTTGAAGATGTCGCAGCGGTGGGCTGTGACGGTGGGAGGGATAGAGTGCCGCGTGCTTCGATACGTCATGCTGCCACCTGCACCACCAGCAGCAGCAGCAGCAGCAGAACAACCGGCAGCCATGGTTGCAAAAGAAGAGAGAGAAGGGGACATGGGGAGGGAGTTGCAAGATGCCGAGCGGGCAGGCTAGTAGGAGGGCCTGAGAAGAGTTGACTTTTGATTCGACTCAAAAGACAACACGGAGGAGTTAGGGTTGTATGGGGGATTCAGCCAGAGAGGTGGCGTTGGTTGGACGGTTCTGTTGGAATGGGCAGCAGCAGGTGATGCTGTGGGGTATACCACGCGTAGAGATTACTGGGTAAGAGTGAAGGTTTTGATTGGCAGGAAGGGTGGCCATGGATAGTGTTCACCTGGGAGAGTTCAATAGAAAGGTTTTGTCATGTGGATGAAATTGAAATTTTCTATCGATTAGGGTGGTTTACCGTCCTACGTTATGTTACAGAAGCTTCTCCCATCCCCGCCAAACACAGTTACCTGATCTCGCCGAATTCTCGCACGCAGCCACGTCGACTCAAAGCACCAACCATCTTGGTCGCACGGCTCTCCTTGCCCGCGTCGCATCACCAGCGCAGTCGCTCATTTCGCCTCTGCTCTGCCAGTTTCGCAATCCCTTCATTCCTGTTACACTCCTCCTGCAAGAAGTGCTTCCCAATCACCTCACCTCGCCTAGCCTCGCCTCGCCTCGCCTCGCCTCGCCTCGCCAGCAACATCACTCCTCTCTTTCACTCTCAGTCTCTCACTCTCCCTCTCACTCTCACGCTCTTATCTGTTACTTCCGCCAGGCATCATGGCGCTCTGCGTCTCGTGTCCCTCCGCGGACATTCTCCGCCCATGCGCCCGCCCGCAAGCGCATGCCTCCGGCGCCGGCGCATCCCGCTTGCGCCCCGCCTTCCGCGCGCCACCTGTCGCCGCGCTCCCCGCCTCTTCCGCCTTCCTGACGCGCGTTCCGGTGCGCAGCGGCAGGTTGACACGTGTCGGTTCCACGTCCAGCCACGTGTCCAAGCGCGCAATAACTCCGCGCGCCACCGCAGAGGAAAGCGGGGGGAAGCCGCCGGGCGACGGCGAAACGTTCCTAGGAGTATACGGGCCGTGGAAAATAGAAGACTCGGACCGCACTGAGGTGATTAACTACTAGTCAACGAGTCTCGGACCGCATTAGTGTGCTTTAACTACCAGCCGTTTATTAGCAGCAGCGGTAGGGCTGCTACTGCCTAGAGCATTGCCACCTATTCCTCCCCTCCCCCACCACCTCCCCATCTCTCCTCACCTCTCCCGCAACCTACTATTCTCGTAACAGCCTTTCTTCCCATCCCTTCCCCTTCCCCACCTTCCTTCCTCGCCTCCCCTTCTCCTTCCTGTTCCCGTCTCCTTCTCCCCCCCACTCCCCTCCCGTTTCCCCAGCCCCTTCCCCTCTCCCTTTCCATTCCCTTCCCCCTCCCTTCTTCCCGCCAACACCCCCACCTCAACCCCCCGCAACCCCCTCAATTGTTCCTATGTCGAGGCAGGACCCCCCCTCCTCACCCTCGCCCTCTTCACTTCTCCCAAGCCTGTTTTCCCCTTGACTGCCTTCCTTACTTCCCCTTCCCCCTTCTCCCCTTCCCCCTTCCCCTTCCCCTTTTCCTTCCCCTTCGCCTTCCTCTTTCCCTTCCCCTTCCCCAACCCTCCCTCAGGTGTTCCTATACCGAGCAGGCCTCGTCACAGCGTCCCTCTTCCTCCTAGCAGCCTCCTCCGCCTTTCTCCCCCCAGACTCCCCCCTCCTCCCCCTCGCCCTCCCCGTCCTCGACCCTCTATTCGCGCTCGGCGCCGCGGGCCTAGG